CTAATGAAAACTATTCTAAATCAATAATAGTGAATAAAAGACAGAATACATATAAGGCAAGTTCATAAGCTATCAAATTTATCTTCACAAAATCCAACAAGTACAAATTAAAATATTCAAATAGATCAGAAATTGTTAATTAAAATATCAAATTCCAGTTTTAATTCAGAATGAGATTTGTTTGTTTAAAACTTAATGACCCATCGATCAGCAAGAGTTCAGAATGAGAGTAAAGATATATTATTCTACTGAATATCCAATAATATATAAATTTGAAGCTTCACTTTACTGTCTTAATTATTTTACCAAATTTCTATTAATTCTCCATTTAATTATATAAGAATGTATTTTTTACACTGTTTAATGTTTTACCTTCAAAATAAGCTTAGATCATGAAACCTATTTATCACAAGATTTTTTTCAATCTTCTCCTTATGCCAATGAATACACACTAAACACTGATATTTAAAGATACTATCAATTTCCTATAGGCATTCAATTGGATTTATTTTAGTTTTGTGTTCTTATTTTTTCAACAGTGAGCAAGTCTTGCCTCTGTAACTCATGAATGAATACTTGTTTATCAACTTCTTTAGAAAAAAAATGAAAAAAAGAAATAGGTAAATAAGCACAAACACAATGTGTCAAGGCCTCAAATTCTTCAGATCAACGCACGCATACGTCACTTTGAAAAACAAGAATTCCTTTAATTCCTTCCTCTACTGAATGGGTCACATAATCAATTTGTAGTCATGTACTGAGAGAAAAGAATTTCTTTAGTTAAAAAAAGAAAAATAGAGTTTATTGATACAGTAAACTTTTTGGAAAAAAAATGGAAACAAGCTAGTTTATAACAAAATTATTTTAGTTTACTTAAATCTAAAAAATGATGTGGCTTTTTTTATAAGTTTAAACTTATTGGTATTAACAACAAGAATACTAGATATTTTCACCATTTGGGTTCAAAGAATAAATACATGACATATAAAAAGGATGAAAGTAACTATAAAAGACATGTTTGTAAGTAAGCAATATTCAAGTAACAAAATGTGATTGTTTTCATTATTATTTTCATGTTTATTCCAATCTTAAAATATTATAAATGATAATAATATTAACCAGATACTTATTACCTAAAAGCATATTCTCCAAAGTTATTTTTATCATTTAATGAAATGTGAACAGATATTTAAATAGCAAAAAATGCATTCTAAATGCTAAGCAAAGAACAAAGAAACAGGAAAATTTCATTAGAAACAAAGAAATCCTCCTGTATGGCAGTGAATGCTGGACAATCTCTTCAAAGATGAAGAGAGGACTGGAGGAAACATAAATGTGATTCTACAGAAGGACGCTGTAAGCAATGAAGAAATTTTTTTTTAAAGAAAATGGAAACAAAAAGTACACTTAAAATCAAAAAGATAGCTGAAATTCCTTGGACACATGATAAAAAAGTGAGGCTTGAAAAATTTGACACTCATAGGACACAACAAAAGCAAAAGAGACAGGGGAAGGCAGCAGTCCCACTTACCTGACAAGTTTGTGTGAATGGGTGACAGAATAGGGGGTGGGAGAGATGGCAAAAAGATAAATGTTACTAAGAGCTACAAAGGATAGAAAAATGTTTTAGAATATTGTTAAAACTTATAGCAACACCAGAAATAGAAAAGAATTCACAGGACTGATTGAATATAGCCTCAATTTGAGTTTTCCTTCTTCTACAATACAATAAGATTGTAAACCATAGCCAACATATATACACAAATACAGTAACAAAGTGGATAAAAGTTTGATCTTCCAAGTTAATTAGGTTTACCATAATTTCCAAACTTGAAACTGAGACAGTTATCAATTTTTATTATAGGTTTCTTGTATAAGAAATTGTTGTCATGACCCACAGGACTTCAGGACACACACACAAAATACTGATAACATATGTCAGCATCATAGATTCCTTTCAAACTGTATTGAAAAATACAAATATGTAATTGTAAAACTTCATACCTAAAAGTCTGTCTGAAACAGAAAATAATGCTTGTCAGTCATTATCTGAGGTTCTGTGCATTACAGTACTAATTTATAGTTTTAACCAATTAAAAGGGGTATATAACTATAACTTAAAAATAATTTTTAACCTTATGACAAACAACTGATTGCATGCTGTCCAAACAGAAACATTTGTTAATGGTATAATTGAAAGAATGTTGGTTTTGCAAATCATTGATCATTTATTTCTTTTTGACTATTTCATAAATATAGTTATGTCAGATGCCCAAGTTCAAGTAAATTAATGTAATAATACAAACTGTTGCAATAAGCCTCAAAGATCAAATGTAAAATGATTTTGCACCAGAGATGTATGCAGAACTTTTCATGATAAATCAAATACATAGAAAATACACTCCCATAAATATACACATACATATCTATATGGACAAAATAAAACAAGTACAAAAATCATAGTCAGCATAATTCCTTAAAATCTATTAAAATCATTTACCACTTAATTTTGACCTCTTATCCATATGTTTTTCTTGTTTTCATAAGTATAAAAAATTTTAACTGAATATTGAAGAAAGGAAAAAACCTTTTTATAATGCACCATTAGTCACTGACATAATTTCAGTAAAATTTGCACCTGCTTTAGGGCATAAATGGAACATAGCAATTCAATAATATCAACTGAAGTTCTGACCTCACTACCCACAGGTTCTGCTTGTACAACAGCTTGGAAAGCAGCTGTTAACAGAACTAAGTCTTCAATACCTTATATTAAATGCACTACAAAACTATCAAGTCAGAAATAAGGTAACAAACAGGAAAATAATACATGGAAGTAATAGCAGTGAACTTTAATACAGATTAAATAAAGTGTCAAATTGTACAAATGTATATATAATATAATTTTATATATCATTGTTGACAATAACAACGATATATAAAAGTAGACTTAATCTGGTTTAAAATGGAGAAATGAATAAAAAAATAGACCACTTTATTTAGGTCTAATCTTAGCAAAACCATTTCTGGACATTTAGCTGTGTCTAAAATAAAAGACTGGCACTTTTTCTTTCTGATTTTGCTTAAGACACAAACAATGTATAGTGTATCAATTTAATGGATACATATATTTTATATACACCTTTAAATCTAAGTAATATAGATATAAGTAAACATTTGTAGTCTTGTAAAAAGTGCAGAAACCTATCTACAAATGAAAATAAAGTGAAGATTTTACATACATGAAGTAACACAAAATGCTAATGAAAATGAATAAACAATTAAAAATGTAGATTTAAATTATAATAAATCTTTGTTCAAAAGCCAAAATATCTGATTTACAAATTCTGCATTCATCGAGTTTAATTACATTAATTCTTAGAGAAATTATTATGAAAGAAAAATATTTAAAAAAGAAAATCAACACTGATTATAATTGTGTCTTAGAGTTGAAGGGAAATGAACTGGGATTAAAGTAATTAATTAATACTGTTCATTCTAAACATTATTTTGGCAATCATCAAAGATAATAATGCAAGAAAATATAATACTAAAATATGGACATGACATTGCAGTTAATGTTTGACTCCACAATAATGCATTTTCTACATAAGTGTACAAACTTAGTGCTAAGTCTTTGGGATGATTTCTTTGAGAAACTTTACCACTAGCCAATTTTAGCCAATTCAAGATATTCTTCTACTTATGTAATAAATATTTCTTTCCTTTTGTGCCTTGCTGGGAAGCAGTAATTAACATACTAGACCAGTGGACCATTAATACTGCAGTGAGTTTGTTTATCAAAATTGTTTTATGTGTGAACATGTAGCAAAGCAAACTAAGCTTGGTAAATAGCAATATATTTTAATTTCACCAATATATTAAAAATTGATCTGAAAAAATAAAATAATCCTGAATATTGAATATATGCTATATACATAATAACATTAAAAAAAGCTTAAAAAGAAAACCATTTTTTAATAAACAATATGTGAGAAGACAATTTAGTCACTGCTACTAAAAAAATACAGAAAACAATATGGTATTTATTATCTAAATAGATAAAAATGTGTGTGAGTAGCATTAAACAACAATAAATCTAAGAAAAACACAAGTTGGAACTTTAGCTGATGCTTATAAATTCCTGGTTATACATCATGGTTTACTAAATGTAGTTAGTATTTTAATCAATTTCATATTCTATAATCATTGTTCTGCAAGATTTTCTCAGAATATGTATTGAGAATATGAGTTTGGATAATAAGTAATAAAATAAAATTTAAAATAATATCATGAAAAGAAGACACAAAGCCATCTTCAAATAATAATACAGTTTGTCTCTCTTGAGGAAAAGAGATGTATTCAAGAGAAAAATATTTTTGTTGAAATAATGGAAATATTTTTTTATATTTTTAGATATTAAAAAATGAAAAGCAGTATCACAGCTTTGTGACAATGTGTCAAAAATGTCTAAAATATTTTTGTGAAGCCATTCTAGAATGTTCCAATATCATCCTAATTCTACTTGAAATACATACAAAGAGATGTGTGGTATAAAGTATGTATTAGAATATTATTTTTTGTCTTAATTTCCAAAAAATGTTGTATTATATTTAACATTTTAGGCTTTCAGACCTGTCTTTTCTATAACATGTTTAGCAATTATGTCAAATATGCCTCAGACAATAAATATAACATTAAGGTTTAATAATTATTGACATAGTCGAGCAAGATTGATTGATCGATTTATTTATTAATCAACCTTTTGCAGGTTATTTAAAAACAGAAAATATTTTTAGATTGTAAGAATTTCTTTTTAGAGTTAATAGTTAGTTACTAATACTACTAATTAACCAATAGCTGGGGGGAGAAGAAGTGGATTCATAGCATTCCCAAGGATATATGCATGTAAATGAATATAACAAACCCAACGAATTGAAATTTAGCTCTCCAATTTCCAATTCTGAGCTGTTACCTATTACACCACCTGCACATCCAAGCTTACAGCACCAAGTATTCCCGAGCGGTCACCCATCTAGGCACTAACCAAGCTCAACATTGCTTAACTTTGGTGATTATACAAGAACTGATGTTTCAACGATGTGGTTATAAGCCATATAGCCATGCTAGGTAAGACAGGTAACTTAGCCATTTAAAAATATGTTAGTAGGTTTCAGAATATCCCACATTATTATAAAGGAAGGACCAAAAATCAAACTAATTCAACATTTACAGTACTTACAAGAGTTAATACTTATATTATCTTCATCATATAAAACTTTGCTGATCAGTAGAAAGAGCCTTATTGCAATATTAACAAACCTAGAATTTTTTTTTTTTTTTTTTTTTGTAAGCATTACACCCCGAGCAAGGGTTGCGGAAGATTTGGAGCGAGAGCAGATAGGAGTGATAGAAGAAAGGATGAGGAGAAGGATAGTGGGTAGATCAAAGTAACTGGAGGTGTTGATTGACATTACATTTGAATAGTTGGAGATTATAGCTTTCAGGGAAACAGTAATTGGGAAGGGTGTTCCACAGGCGAGTGCTATACTCTTACAATGATTTTCTTTCACTAGGTCCATGAATACGGAGAGATTTGCAAATAGTCACCACAGAGATTCAAGTTCATAAATACTATAGACTAACATTTCTCAGCTTACTTTCCTCCAAACTACTGAAATTCTTTCATTTGATTCTAAATATACTGAACTTTTCTTTAAGCCTTATCTAATTTTTTTCTCAAAATTTCAGATCTTAAAGCAGTAAGATTTATTTACTTATTTTCCAAGCATAGAAACAAAAATCAATAACTAAAAACATTGCTGTCACTATTTATCAAAACAATAGCCAAGCTTACCAGACAACTGACACATTCTGATTATACAACTTATACATGCAACTGGCTTATCACAAATTTCACTTATTCCCAATGAAAATATACTAAACAATTTTTCTAAGTGAGAAGGTTCTGATTGAATGCTCTTAGCCTGCTGTTTAAAGCCAAAACTAATGTAGGAGTTCAAATTGTAGAGCAGTAAATTTTAAGGATACATATATAACAAATTGTTACAAACTTTTAGTGGCTGCAGAAAGAATATCAAAATTGAATATATTTGATGGCCCTGATATAAAGCACAAATTTGATAGCTAAATAATCTGAAAAAATATTTTGAAAATTACTGAACTCCATGAATAATTTTAAAATGAGTGTTAAAATTTTTACATTTGATTGATTAGAAAGCTATGTATAATTTACATTGATTAAACTGAACAGGTGTGAGAAAGGAGTTATGTCATAATTCAGACATAAAATTTAAAATATAAGAAAGATAATAAAAAATAAGAATGTAAATATTATACTGAAAAGAAAGATTACTTTTGCATAAATTGAAGGGCAATTTTGATCTACTCATCTCATTTTTTTTTTCATTAAAAAATTTAAAAAACTACATAAAACTACATAAAAAAAACTTATATATTAATAAAATTTACAGGTACAAATGAAAATTTCATTGTCTTCCAATTTTGATTGATAATTAATCAAAATTGGAAAAAAGTTAATGAAATTTTCATTTGTACTAGTGAATTTTATTTAGTATACAATATGTAATTTGTTTCAAAAGTTCTCATGACTAACTTATAAATTTTTTTTTTTTTACAAGGCCTATTTTGGAATGATTCAGCCATTTAATAAAAATGAAAAAAAAAAATCACCTTTAGTAATGTTGTTTTAGTCTTCTTCAAAGTACTCTTACTGAAGTCTCATACACCACCTTCCATTTTTAAAACATTCTGCAAAGTCATCTTTTGGGATTATCATCAGATGCTTTTTATTGCATTCTCCTTACCCTTGTCTGCACTGAAATCTCCTGCCACTCAACAGGGATTTTAGCTTTGGGAAAAGCTAGAATTTGCAAGTAGCCAATTCTGGACAGTATGGAGAGGGAAGCTACTAAAAAACTACAACACCCAGGTCCATTGAAAACATTGCATAAGGGAGAAAGAATGGGCAGTTATGATATTCCAAAACTTTTCAGGCAATTTATGGAATCGCAGATCACTGATTTTCTTTGATTGCATCCGTATGCATTAAATGTTTTCAAGTGTTCCATTTGCTGAAGGCCTTTTAGAATGAGCATCATCGAATCATTTCTGAAATCCTCCTTAATCATCCGAATAGTTTCCATGGACAAATGCCTAAGTATCAAGCAAAACTTGATGGATATTTGCTGTGAATGTGATAGTCACACATTACACAAGCTCACTCAATGATGTATCACTGCCAACAAAGTAACCTCATGGGAGAGTGTCCATGCATGCACAGTAAGATACCTGTTAATTGTCTGACAAGTTATATCAAAACCACTTTGAAATGTTCAAAATAGATGGATACTTTCTGAACAGATCTCATTATAAATTATTCAAACTCCTTTTTAAAAACTAGAGATTAAATACACAACAAAAAACAACAATTTTTTAATAAAAACCTGAAAACTTTTGCATATCTAAATATATCATTTTTTCTTTTTTTTTAATCATTTCACCACAAGCAAGGCAATAAAGCCACTAAGAGACAAGAGGTTACTGAAAGTGAAAGAAACTAAGAAGTTATTGAGTAGAAAGGATAATAAAAGGATTCAAAAAGACAAATGATGACTGATGTTGCATTTAAATTTGTGTAGTTGACATGAAATCAAGAAGCTAGAAGAAAGTTACACAGGCAAAAAGTGTGAGAGAAGAAACCATTAGAATAGAATTTATGGTTATGTCAAGCAATTTCAACAGTATAATGATGAGACTTAACTGCCAATCTAGTACTACACTTAAATTCATAAAATTGAGGTATCAAAGGTGAAAGCACATGAGAAAAATCACCATGAAAATATTTATAGAAAAGGCAAAAGGAAGCTGTGTTATATAGGTATGAAAGTGATTGAAGTTGAGATACCAAGTCAGGATTGATAACATTGCTGATTCTTCTTTAGATTTTGTCAAGAATCTCTAGAAGCACCAGGCCAGATGTCACAACAATATTCAATGTATGGACAAATGGTAGACTTCTTTAGAAGATAGATTCTGACAAGTAAAATTGTCTAACACAAAACAGCAAACCAAATTTCATAGCATATGCAAGGAACAAGTATAACAACCAAAGTTTATTTGTTACTCATTAGCAGAGTATATAAAAGACAAATCTATCTATATAAAATCTAACTAAAAAGGATAAAAATGGTTTTAAAAAATGCTCATAGTTATCAATATTTAATAAACAGGCAAAAATATGATTTTGCTATTTTGATATTTACTCACATCATTCCCAAATATTAGTCAACCACATTTTTTTTATTTGTTAATGAAATTAAACATCAGCATGTTTTCAGGAGTTTAAAAAAAAATTGTCTGACAATCATTTCTTTTTAATTAACGTTGGTAAACAGGTCACTGTGATTATAAGATATAGTAAAAAATTTGAGGTTTTCTTATATGCTACTGCATGTATTCAGTATTGAATCAATGGTTTACAATAATATATACTTATGAGGACACTCAAATAGATGATAAATCAGAATACATTTGGCAGATATCTCCAAGAATAAATAATAAAGAACCTTGAAAATGATAGATTGAAAAAATATAAAGCACTGTCAAAACCTATAGAACTTTAATTATTCATTTAGCAGATGAGAGAATTGCTAAAATTGCCTGTGCTACTTTTCAAAACTTTGAATTCTTATTAATGCAATTTAAAAAATTACTTTTTTTGATAATCCATACTTTGGTTATTGAAAATAATAATATTGTATCTACTTGGTAAAACATACAACCTTTTTTTTTAATATTAATATGTTTTAATGTGAATAATAGGAGTAGATAGTCTCTCCTATCACCCAGTCAATACCCCTCCTCCTTCTTTTGAACAGAGGTATAGGCTCATTCCTTGTTTAGGAAGGGGTTCCTGGTTTCTTTCCTTTTCTATGGCCTTAGTAGTGATGCTGTCATGAATCTCTTGTGACATACTGAGGCTGCCGGGTTAGAAGTTTTCTGGTGGCTGTTCCTGACTGGTAGTTAGAAGCTCGATCTCTTGCATAGGATCTTGAGAGGCTGCTCCGATCAACAGTTGCATAATATCAGAGTTCTTGCAGTGCCACATTACACAAGCGCAGATGTCCTTGCATGCACCTTTGGTGGGCAACCCTGAGTCCACACTATGTTGCAGTCTGCACCAGTTCCCTTCTGCCTACATCATATTTGATGATGAAATGCTACTCCTACACTAGGCCTTTTCTTTACCAACATAACTCAACATAACCATAAACAACCAAAAATATAAACCTAAACCAGCTCAACAAAAATCACTTAAACTGTTTAACTTGTCCTTCTTCAAAATCTGTAGTATTTGCACCAACTTCTGCAGTGTGGAATCATTCCTCTTTGAAAAGTCTCCTGACATACTAGTGCTCTGTGAAACTAACCTTAACTCATCAATCCCTTCCCCTGATTTCTCAATTCCTGGCTACCTTCCTCTCCTTAGAAAGAACTCTAAAGTCCACATGTATGGCCTGGGAGTTTATATCCGTGATCATCTCCTGTTATCTAGGGAACTTTCTTTTGGATCTCCAGATCATTCATATATGTGTCTGTCTCTCTCTCTCCTTAATTCAGTATGCTATCACTTCTTTCTCTACTGTTTCCCTTCCTCTCAAGCCTGCTGTAAGCTTGATAGTATTTCTAATATAGACAAGGCCATCTCCCTACACCTGTTTGCTTGTTCACTTTAACACCCACCATACCAGGGGGCTTAAACACCGTCACTGACTTTGCTGACATCCAAACCCTTAACTTTTCAATCCCTTATGCAAGGGGTTGACTTTCCTATGAATTTTCCCAGTAACCCTGATGGAAACACTTCTCTTCACAATCTGTTTTACCTCTATCCCTGACTCTTGTCACGTCATATTATGCAGTTTTGCCCTCTTGGCAATTCTGATCACACAGTAGTGTCTGTAAACATCTCCTTCCACTCCCCCATGAGCCACAAACCTCCTATGAACAGAATATCTTTCTGATATCAATGTGTGAATTGGGAGTCATGATGTCCTTCC